CCCCAGCAGGGACACCTTGCATGATTTATGCCCGCTCTTTCAACCGGGCACAATACGGTGAATTTGTCGTCGAGTTATCTTCACTCCTCAAAGCATGCAGGATTTGAACAAAGCAAAAAAAACATCACGAGAAGCCGGCATGACGCGCGCAGTCGAATATGCAAATAGCTGGCTTCTTTGGTCGGCCTTCACTAACTGCACATAGGTGAATGTGCAGCGTAAGCATGACCACACAGATATTGGCGTGCAAGAAGATATGCCTTTCTCGGGAAGTGGATGGATGCTACGAACGTCCCCTTAATAACGGCGCGGTGACATGTGTGCCACCAGGCTCGCAAGAAAAAAAATATGAAATGAAAACTTTCTTTTTATGTAGGCGTAATGCTTTATGAACTTCGATTAAATCGATCTTATTATAACAAAGAAGAATGTAAATTTATGTTCCATCTTTCTGCCTCTTAAGGAAGAATGAGCTCATTTTCCCGCTATTTCTGTCCCTTATCTACAGTTTTCTGCCGCCAATACCCTGACCATCTCTTACTTGCTTCTATCGCGGACGTGTTCCGCTTTCAATGTTTGTCTTTGAAACCGAAAGCCTCATGTAGGCTTGTAACCACGTGCATATTTGAGTGGATATGCCCGCATTCAAGCAGAACATGTTCGATCGTTTCCTTAGCTCCCCCACAGCATGTACATTGTTCCTTTTCTTTATTGAATCTCGGTTTATGACTGCGCGTTCTGGGGCAGCCTGATCTCGCTTCGAACAGTAAAGTGCTTCCCCTTGAATTATCATAAAACCTCTCCCGCCTTATGTTATTCTTGCCCTTTGGGTAGTTACTCAAAGCTGGCACCTTTTCCATCGCTGTCATCCAATAAATTCTTTCCGCCTCTCTGACTTTCGCTTAATGCTCCTTGTCGCCATGTCGCCCATACTGCAAGCCGTATATTTTCCTAGCTCTTTTTCTCAAGATTTTGTCCACGTTATACAAATACCTGAACAGCTTCCCTGCCTATCTACTTTCTTTCATTTTCCTATAGGAAAATAAAGCTTATAAGCTCCCTTACTTCAAAGTCTGTCGATCCCACATCTCCCTTTAGAGCCTCATCCGTCGTCTTCCCGTTTGCGTCCAGCGCCAGGCGTCTCACAGTCCTTTGATTTACATTCATTCCAGATTCCACTCCCACGTGTATGCGGGAGAGCGCGCTACCTAGTGGATGCATCGCCAAGCGGCCTCAAGGGTTTCCTTACGCGCCGCTTGGCGGTAATAACACTTCAAGCATTCTATGCACTGTAACTGAAGACTGCTTCATGCACCATTTCTGAGACTCGACAGAGAACTTACCAGCTATTGTGTCGTGTGTGACCTGCACTTGCAGTCAGGAGATCTCGTTGGATATTTCATCCGAAACGTCAATGGTGAAGAGGTCACTCTACCACGTGATAAATGAACGCTAAATAAGGACTCTGTATATTTATTTCCCAGTTGTCCGAAATATTTATCAAATCCCTCAAAGAAGCGCAAGCTTCCCACTGTGGAGCCAGCCCTGCACGTTAAGCGCCGGAAGAATCGAAACGGAGCTTAAAGTGAAAACTAAGTGCCCAATGATTTTGACCATGGTGAGCGAGTGTGCTCCCCAGACAACAGGGTTACCATCGAAAGCTCTGCATTGCTCTTGGACGAGCTTAACCATCGCTAGAGTGAGCGAAAGAGTGCAAAACAGAAATAAAAAGTGTAGAGACATATGCTGGAAGATTTCGGATGATCTAGAGGGGTGCTGCTTCCCTCTTCTTGGCTGCGCAGACCACATGCCCGCGTTCGCACACGAAGGGGTTTTTTCCCCCTTGTTACGCGGATGCGTTTTGCGTGACGGATACAAATTTTCGACTAGAAAACATTCAGAGAAGTAGCTGTAGCAAACGAAAAATGCGTCTTTCGTGAATATTGCCAAACGCGCGCTTCTGTATTTTCATGTCAGCGGCCCGCTGTACGCGTACATAAAACAATATAACTCGCACTAAAAGCCTCAATGTCGTATTCATTCACCCATTAGCTGCTTTTTACAGAGCGCGAAAAGTAAGAAGGATACGCCTTGAATACTTGGCGCTAAAAAAGCAGCGCGACGTAAATGAGTGAGAGAAGCGACATTCGTACGGCGGCGCGGCTGCAACCGGGCCGCCGATGGAGGCGACAGCGCCACCTCATGATAGGAGTGGGCCACATTTCCGCACCGCTCCCAGGCGCAGTTTGACAACTGACAGGATCTAGTAACGTTGAGTAAAAGTCTGCTCGCTGTAGCCCGTGTGGGTTCGGATTGCAGTATAGTATACAGTCAAAAAGGCAAAGCTGCTGGTGAGGATAAGGTAACATCAAACCTGCTGAAAGATGGAGGACAGATTGTGTTAGAAAAACTAGCCACCCTGTTTACGAGGTGTCTCCTGGCGAGGAGGTTACCAGAGTCTTGGAAGAACGCTAACATCATCTCAATACATAAGAAAGGAGATGACAAGGAGTTGAAGAATTACAGGCCGATCAGCTTGCTTTCTGTAGTATACAAGCTATTTACAAAGGTAATTGCTAACAGAGTAAAGAAAACATTAGAATTCAATCAACCAAAGGAACAAGCAGCATTTAGAACAGGCTACTCAACAATTGACCACATTCATACTATCAATCAGGTAATAGAGAAATGCTCAGAGTATAACCAATCACTATACATAGCCTTCATAGATTACGAGAAGGCGTTTGATTCAGTAGAAATATCAGCCGTCATGCAGACACTGCGGAATCAGGGCGTAGATGAAGTATATATAAACATTTTGGAAGAAATCTACAGGGGATCAACTGCCACCATAGTGCGCTTCATAAAGAAAGCAACAGAATACCAATCAAGAAGGGTGCAAGGCAGGGGGACACAATCTCCCCAATGCTATTTACCGCGTGCTTACAGGAGGTTTTCAGAAGCCTAGAATGGGAACAGTTAGGGAGAAGAGTTAATGGAGAATACCTTAGTAACCTGCGCTTTGCCGATGACATTGCATTGCTGAGTAACTCAGGGGACGAATTGCAACCCATGATTACGGAGTTAGACAAGGAGAGCAGAAAGGTGGGTCTTAAAATTAATCTGCAGAAAACAAAAGTAATGTACAACAACCTCGGAAAGGAGCAGCGCTTCGAGATAGGTAATAGTGCACTTGAAGTTGTAAAAGACTATGTCTACTTAGGGCAGGTAATAACCACAGAGCCTAACCACAAGATTGAAGTAACTAGAAGAATAAGAATGGGGTGGAGCACATTCGGCAAGCACTCTCAAATTATGACAGGTAGATTGCCACTATCCCTCAAGAGGAAGGTATATAACAGCTGTATCTTGCCGGTACTTAGCTACGGAGCGGAAACCTGGAGACTTACAAAGAGGGTTCAGCTTAAATTGAGGACGACGCAGCGAGCAATGGAAATAAAAATGGTAGGTGTAACCTTAAGAGACAAGAAGAGAGCAGAGTGGATTAGGGGACAAACGGGGGTTAAGGATATCATAGTTGAAATAAAAAAGAGGAAATGGACATGGGCCGGGCATGTAGCGCGTAGACAGGATAACCGCTGGTCATTAAGAGTAACTAACTGGATTCCCAGAGAAGGGAAGCGGGTTAGGGGGAGACAGAAGGTTAAGTGGGCAGACGAGATTAAGAAGTTTGCGGGTATAAATTGGCAGCAGCAAGCACAGGACCGGGTTAACTGGCGGAACATGGGAGAGGCCTTTGTTCTGCAGTGGACGTAGTCAGGCTGATGATGATGATGATGATGGTGATGGTGGTGGTGATGATGATGATGATGATGATGATGATGATGATGGTGATGATGATGATGATACAGTCAAATGCAGGGACTGCACCACACGCCAAATCACCGAGGCAAGTCGATTTTTTTCTTTAAAGAATGATTGCGTGAGTACTCCCGTGGTCGCTTTCACCAATAAAGAAAGGATGTATTTAGGTTTGTCCAAGGTGATGAATTTCTGAAACATCATTGTGTTCCGCGCATGGATGTTGCAGCAGTTGTATAAAAGCGAAGGATTTCCAAACAAATAAACTTCGGAATTTCATCGCTCTCTGTTCCTCTCTTCTCTCCTCTTCTTGTGCGCGTGCGTCTTTCTGTTTAAACGGCTCGCTTTAAGTGTCAAGCTGTGACAGTTGCTAGTCCGCGCTTGTCCTGTGTATGCTATTTTCGTGCGTGCTTTCTTTTTGAGGTGTGCGCTGCAAGTTTCGAGTTGCTGGCTGTTCTTAACGTGACTTTGCGATTTGTTTCTGTTCCTGAAACAATGCACCATAAACGCTCAACTACCGCTGTAAAGACACGTTTGACTTTCGTATTACACCGACTCCTATATAGGGGCATCGGCCACACTTTTTTTGTATTTTTCCCCTTCTTTGGCAATGCCTTATTTTGTCCTCACGTCACTACACATTCGGGCTTCAAGCTGGAGAGCGGCTACGCTTGATAGCATGCAAGCAAGAAAGAAACCGGTCAGACCTTCCGTTCCAGACTTATGCCCATCAAGGGGCAAGAGTGGCGACTGGCCGACTGTATAGACACACCCGCAGCAACCCCCTCCCGCCCCCGTATGCAACCCGGGTTTCCACATACCAACACTAAAACAGCGTCCATGCTTGTGCCCAAATTAAATCAAAATAACAGCTCGAGGAAAACCAGCATCTTGTTAACGTACGTGGCATTATCCTGTAGCCTCATTTCGGGGCTCACAGTTGTCGCGTGCGCCGATATACTCTCCGGGTGTACCGTCGTAGACACTGGAAAAATTAAGCAGAGTTTCTTGATTATCGCAGCAGCGTTCCAGCTGTGCAACCATGGTTTACAGAGCACCGAAAGCAAGAGTTTCCGAGTGCAGGTGCCCTCCAGTTTTTCAAAAGAGCCGGCCTAGCGCTCGGGGGCACCTCGAGTTTCTCGCGCCATTGTTACAACACTTTCTCCTTTTACACGCAGGCGAAAAAGATCAGCAGCGACACCATCGACATGAATGCGTCGTCGTCGACCGTACACTACGGCAGCACCCATTCGTCATCTCGCTTCTGCTTTGGCAACGGTGAGCACAATTCGGGACATTGTCGAATTCTGCCATTGTTCAACCCTGATTGGACCAGAGGGACTCCGAGACTTGTTGAAATGCCACCATTGCGAAATTATACAGTACGGTGGAATCCGCCATACGAATAAAATTTATGAAGGCCCTCTTCTACAGCTATTACATTCTCCCTGAAATATATTCGAAAAACGCATGTTGCTCTATATCTTAATGGTTACTATATATAACTACAGTCTACAGCGTTTGCTTTCCTGCCGCGGCCATCCGTCACCAATGGTGCGAGAAACTCGAGATTTTTTTCTCGCTTTTAAATGCGAAGCATTTCTTCGCAAAATTCCGAGTTTTAACCTACCTACCTACCTACCTACCTACCTACCTACCTACCTACCTACCTACCTACCTACCTACCTACCTACCTACCTACCTACCTACCTACCTACCTACCTACCTACCTACCTACCTACCTATCTATCTATCTATCTATCTATCTATCTATCTATCTATCCGCGTACGACTTTTAGTTCTGTCCGTTTGGATAATGGCATCTATACCGATATTCGCATGGCCTAACATAAATGTATGAAGACATAAGTCAATAGTCATAACAAGAAAATCATGACAGGTATACCATGCATGTCATGATTTACATGTCACGGTATTGCTGCTCCTGTGGTGGTTTCGTTCACATGACATATCTCAATACTGGCATGGTATAACATGATTGCAGGGCGAACATTAGTGATGGGGTACCCGTGTCCAAATCATGACATACGTGTCATGTAAGTCATGGCTACAAGCCACGCTCATGGTGCACACGCGGTCATTTGGCTAGCTTCACATATTATATGCCACGTTTGGTATTAAGTGGTGTAAATGGATGACGGGGGTGTATGACTGGTGCAAATATAATAATCATGACATGTGTGTCTTGTAAGAAAATGACTACTACCGCACTCATGATGAGCTCGCAGCTGTTTCACTAGCTTCACATATACCAAATTTGGTGTTACGTGACGCGAACGGACGACGAAGGTATACGACACGTCAAAACATTATAATCATGACAAGCGTGTTATGTAAGAACGTGACTACATACTACGCTCATGACTTCTTCGCGGTCATTTCGCTAGCTCCACATATACCAAATTTGGTATTACATGATGTGAATAGACGACGAAGATAAATGACACGTCGAAACATGATAATCATGACATCCGTGTCACGTAAGACATGGCTGCATGCTACTCTCATAGCGCGCCGCAGCCGTTTCGCTATTTCACATACATCAAATTGGGTATAACGTGACGTGAATGGACGGCGAGCACAAATGCCAGGCGTGAGTACGATAATCATGAATTATGACATGAAAATCATGCGCAGCATAATTTACATTCGCGTCGTAACGTTGTGCTGCTTTTGATGCGACAATTCAACCTTCCTCATTCGTGCTTCGGATATCACCGGTTCCCACTGTACTCTGTACTCGGTATCTACCGCGTAAAGTGGGATATATATATATATATATATATATATATATATATTGTACCGAAGCATAGTGGCGCCAGCTCTGTGCCAGCGTGAAAGAAGACGTTGACGTCCGTGTGTGGCTCGTGCTTGCCGGATTCCTGCCTGTACCAGCTTGTTGCGGCTAACGTTTCTCGAATAATAACCTGTGTTTTTACGCAACCTTGCTCGTTGCATTTGGTGGAAACGTGCTGGGTAACGTCCTGGAGCTCCGCAGCCGTAAGCTACCTTCTCAGTCCACGATGACCGAGCGCGTCGATCCCCCACAAGGCTCTTCCACGCTGCCACCCGTCATGTGTTCTGGTGTACTTCGTCTGCGTGACCCACCAGTATACAACGGCACTGAAGATCAAGATGTCGAGGACTGGCTGGCAGAGTACGAGCATGCCAGCGCGATTAACAAGTGGGATGACCCTGCGAAGCTGATTCACGTCATCTTCTACTTGACGGATTTGGCCAACCTATGGTTCACCAACCACCAAGCCGACATCCCCACCTGGTCGGTTTTCAAAGAGGCCGTCACCTCGTTTTTCGGTCGTCCAGCCATGCGTAAGCTTCGCGCTGAACTGGGACTGCGGGGACGATTTCAGCGAAATGGTGAGAGCTTCACAAGCTACATTGAGGATGTGATCAGCCTCTGTAGGCGAGTTGATGACAGGATGACGGAGGCTGACAGAATAAAGAACATAATGAAAGGCATTGATGACGACGCTTTTCATATGCTTGTGGCCAAAGACCCACAGACCGTCACGGCCTTGATTCAGTTATGTCAAAGTTTCGATGAGCTGCGTAAGCAACGAGTTTCTACACGTCGCGCTAATACGCAGACAGCTGATATTTCGGCCTTGGAGTGCAAAAGCCGTGGCCCCGACTACAGCGTGTTAATGCCTCAAATTCAACAGTACATCCGGGAGGAAGTTGCTCGACAGCTCTCTCTTGTCGCCACCATCAACGAGACCCCCACAACACTGGACCACTCACTTCGCCGTGCTATTCAGACGCAAGATGCCGAGGCTCTCCCTTCGCCCACATCCCCAATATCAGTGGCTGCACCGCTGACTTATGCAGAAGCCGTCCGCCGACCTTCTGCCCAACCACCGCTCCCTTCATACAGTCCAGCCACCAACTACTACAGGTCACCAGTTTCAGTTTATCCGGTAAATCGGCCCATTCCACCACCTCGAGCACCTGCCAACTCTTGGCGTACTCCGGATAACCGGCCCATCTGCTACAACTGTGGTATTCCAGGACATGTCGCGCGCTACTGTCGTCGCCGTGGATTCTATTTTAATGATGTGCAGCATTCCGGCAACATACCTCGGCCATCAGAATCGCATGTGACACCTGATTCGCATGACCCCCGCTCACGTCGACCAGACTTCAGCCGACGTCGATCTCCTTCACCCCGTCTTCGGTCTCCTTCCCCCATGCTTCGCCGTTCCAACCACGCCCAGGAGGAAAACTGACAGTCGCAGTTCCTGAGGCAAGAGCTGCGCCACCGACGAAATTTCCAAGGCCTCATCTATCGCCCCCTAACGAGATTGCCGTGTTTGTGGACGGTTTCGCCACAACTGCTCTTGTCGACACAGGTGCCGCTATTTGTATAATCAGTGAAGTGTTATGCCGCAAACTGAACAAAGTGACGACTCCACTGGTTGAAATTTCTTTACGCACGGCGAGTTCACAACACGTCCAACCTTCTGCCACATGCACTGCTCGTGTTGTGATTCAAGGAGTGCTTTACATCGTAGAATTTGTCGTCCTTCCGCATGCGTCTCATGAAATCATCCTGGGATGGAACTTTCTTTCCGCTAATCATGCGGTTGTCGACTGCGCTCGTGCTCAACTCGTTTTGTTTCCATTCAGCACGACATTCATAGATCTCCCTCGCTCACCCAAAAAGGTGATCGTCGCCGCTGACGTCGTCATTTCTGCTTTTTCGGTCACCGCGGTATCTCTTTTGTGCAACTCCGTTTCCGATTCAACTGCCCTATTTATGCCGTCACAAGAATGCGCTCGTCGCCGGAACCTTGTCGTCCCGTTTGCCGTCATAACACTTGCCGATGGCTCCAGTGCCGTGTACGTGTGCAATCCGTTCCCTTGTCCCGCTACCTTATTGCATGGCGAATGCATTGGGAGTCTTGACACTTATGATGACATCTTTCCTTTCGATGCCCGTTCTGATACGACACCGATGTCCGTGGATGCTGTCACAGCTGGCACCGCGCCCTCACTACCTGACGAAGACGTTCTGTTGCGCAGCGTAGACACCGGCCTTACGCAAGACCAGCGCAATCAGCTCATTCAACTACTTGAACGTTTCCACGCCTCCTTCGACCACGGACAGCCTCCCTTGGGACGCACGTCAGTTGTCGCTCACCATATCGACACCGGTCATCATACTCCACTTCGTCAGCGCCCCTACCGCGTCTCGCAGGCCGAGCGTGACGTCATCACTCAACACGTCGACGAGATGCTGCAACGTGGTGTTATTCAGCACTCACACAGTCCTTGGGCTTCGCCAGTGGTCCTCGTGCGAAAAAAGGATGGCTCCATCAGGTTTTGCGTGGATTATCGTCGACTAAACAACATCACACGCAAGGATGTTTATCCTCTGCCACGCATTGATGACGCCTTGGATTGCCTTCAAGGTGCGGAGTTTTTCTCTTCACTGGATCTGCGCTCTGGATATTGGCAAGTACCAATGGCTGAACCAGACCGTCCAAAAACGGCGTTTGTGACCCCTGACGGCTTATATGAATTTAATGTAATGCCCTTCGGTCTTTGCAATGCGCCTGCGACTTTTGAAAGAATGATGGACAGTGTCCTCAGGGGACTTAAATGGCACATCTGTCTTTGCTATTTAGACGACATAGTTGTATTCTCGGCGAATTTCGAAACTCATCTTTCCCGTCTGGAACAAGTTCTCCAGTGCCTTACGGCAGCCGGGTTGCAACTTAACTTCAAGAAATGTCGTTTTGGCGCCCGCAAACTCACAATTCTCGGCCACGTCGTTTCAAAAGAAGGAATATCGCCAGATCCTGCCAAACTGCGTGCCGTTGCCGAGTACCCCAAGCCTACTACACTAAAGGAGCTTCGTAGTTTCATAGGCTTGTGTTCCTATTTTCGGCGTTTCATTCGCAATTTTGCCTCTATAATTGCCCCTCTGACTCAGCTTCTCTCCCGTAGCACGGACCTCTCTGGCTGGAATTCCCACTGCGATGAGGCATTCACGGCGCTACGCCGGCTACTCATCTCTCCGCCAGTTCTCCGCCACTTCGATCCCAATGCACCCACTGAAATTCACACGGATGCAAGCGGTGTCGGCCTCGGTGCCATTCTCGCTCAACGCAAGGATGGCTGCGACGAGTACGTTGTCGCCTATGCCAGCCGTACACTAACGAAGGCAGAGTCCAACTATTCCGTCACGGAAAAGGAGTGCTTGGCTATCATTTGGGATATAGGAAAATTTCGCA